AAGATATGCAAAGGTCATATAAAGAAGTATTTGGATAAATGCCAACAAGAAGTATGTCTTTGTCCCTAGACTGTATTAACTGAAAGTGATTCCAAACAAAAGAACTACTGACACCTCTATACTGGAATTCTATCAATTATGGTATCTTCAAAGTGCCTCACAAACTTGTCACAACAGACCTCCAAGCCTTCTTTCAATACATCCCCACCTGGGTTAGGTTTCCACAGATCTATCCACCACTGAGAAAAAGATCTCCTGAATGGTTGCTTGAGCATACAACGAATGCAGAGAAATACAGTCACTTCATTGCCAGTTTTGCACAAGATAGGCAAAATAATGTGCTCTCATTTATGTTGTGTTATTGGATTTGCTATATGGCCAACAGGCTACCCCTAAATGTTTTTTGGATTTCAAGATATCACATTTTAGCTGTCATAGGGGAATCCTAAAGAGAGTGCCAGTGCACTGAGACCTTGCTATCTGAGGCTTCTGCCTCCAACAAAGGTAACACAATTTTTCTAATATTGGGACTGGATTGGCATGCTTTACCTCTACATCACCTAAAGTTTTCCTGATGCACAACATGAAGATTTCTTGGAAAAGTCAGTGTTCTCTACCTACATAGGAGCCTGTGGCTTCACAAAGGATTGCAAAAGGAAATTTAATTTCCTTGACTTTGAAAATTTCCCAGTGACTGCATGGCCAAAGGGTGAGATGCCAGCCTGCAGATAGCCCTCCCTGCCATCTGAACTAAGAGCAGAAACAGAAAATGTAGGCCTATGACTAACATCTTCAATTTTCCCCCCTCCTGTTTGCTTGATGAAGAAGCCAGTGCGACTTCAAAAGCTTGCAACATATAATTGTGCATTTTGGTTGGCCCAATAAAGGTATCATGGATTTTATTTCATTTCTGTTGGTTACATTCACAATGAGAATTCCTTCTTCTGCATTCTAGCCATAATCCTGACACTTTTATAGGTTTCAGTAAACCAAGGAATTTAATTAGGTTCAAAGGCATCAGAAATAACTCTTTGGAATGATTTTGTCAATTCCACTTCACAATTCCATAGTGAAACCAGTGCCTGAACAGGAGTGCCACCCATGTTAGGTGGAAACTACCCAAGAGCACTCAGGTATCTCTTGAATCCCATAAGTGTTTGGAAGACATCTCAATGGGCTCATCACTACTCCAGGATGTGGTTTGACTTTAACAAAAGAGACACAGAGAGCCCCTCCCACAACAGTTCAGACCTGTAGCTTCACCTGCAGTTGAGTATGTTGTAGCAGTCTTGAAGCCCTCAAATGGGCCCCCTAAGTTGTACCCAATTGGTCCTACTAAGATGTGTCCAGTTTTAAAGCAGAAATCTCCAAAGTACTGCCCATAACAACAAATAACACCTTAGTCTCTGCTGCAATCAGGCAGGAAGACTATGTATAGAAATCAGTACCTGACTGGAGTGCCTGATACATATCAGTGCCTGTTCAGTGAGATGGATTTTTTTATGTAGTAGAGTCAATTGGGTAGATGATAGCAACCACCCATCCTGTTCACCAATCCTCAACTGCTCTAACTTATGGAAATGCTGCACTGTATATCTGGCTGGACAAAGCTCAGAAAGATCCAGTATGGCTAAGTAGTAGTGCTAATGTTTATGCAGTCATGGAAGACTATCAGAGTTGTTGGGAGTTCTTATGCAACAGCTGCACAAATCTCTGAATCCCCTAGATTTGGAGAAAAATTCCAGACAGGAATCTCTATATGAAAAAAGGATGTATTTTGGAGAAGAACTCACACTTCCCGCCTTAAATCATCACTTCTGGGTTGCCTGGTTATTTATTAGCCTGACTTCATGAATCAGTCAAAATGTATTAGCCTATAAATTATCCCCAAGAGCAATTTGCTTACCAAAAGGAAACTACAAGGCCTTAGGGCAGCTACAAGAGAGCTCATTCCTAAAGCAATCAAGCCATACTTGGCAGGTGCAGTTGCACTGCTGCATTTTTAAGGGTGAAGTTTAATTAATCTCTTCTCTCCCCCTCCCAACTGATACAGAAAGCTTATTTTATCATTAGGCAGCTATGAATAGCTCTTCCTGGGGACAATGCAAAGCAGATGGAAAAGACTTCAATTTCTCTGTGCCTTTTACAGGGTGGGATTCTGAGGCTCAGGAAAGGTAAAGATAAAGGGAAAAACAAAGACCTCCATTTCTACAGGGAAAGAAATATCAACAGGCAGGGAACTCTGAACACAAATGGTGCATAATGGGTACACAGCTGTCATAACTCACTGGGATGCAGTAAACAAAGGTGAAAACAGTACTTTGTTTCAATCCTTTTTGCATGTAAGTGAGTTCCCCCCCCCCCAACAAGGGTTTGATGTTGTCTTTTTCTTTTTATCAATGTGTTTTAATTGTGGCCTCAGTTCTATATTGTGGTCTACGTTGCATGTAGCAGAGGTGCTATGGAGACCTCCTAAGGTTACTGGCAAGAATGTCCTGATACACATTAGGTTCTATCAATATGAATTAGCACTCTCTAGCCAGTGTCCTGATGTGTATTGAGCTCTACTGATGTGCATTGGCAGTCCCTAGCCATTGTCCAGGTGGGTAATGGGAGTGGTTAATGTGCATCATGTCCATTGTGCATCAGTCCCAATGTGCCATAATCCTTTCACTGGCTCCCCCATGTTATAATGTATAGCAGTCCCTTGCTGAATATGAACATTGTGCAACCGCTCAGTTCTATTTCCTACAGATGTGAGTTCATTTATGCAGTCATAAGTCACATACTGAATTCCAGTCTGTGCTTTTATTGTTTTCATTATGTTTTCATTCTGTTTTTTAAAAAATGTATTAGCTTCATTTGGCCTTCATTCAATTGGTAGTTCCAGATAGAGTAGATTGAATGAATCAATTGTTGAATAATAAGTCAACATTTACACAAGTCTCATTGATTTCATGGGTTTACACTAGTTGGCAATAACAACTGGATTTAAGCCATTGTTTTTAGCTAATTATACCACTGATTACTACCTTGAATGTATGTTGGGCTTAGAAGCAGCAAGAGAGTACAGGGGAATTCAGTTGTCTGCACTGAGGACTACCCTCTGCTGCTGGAAATTTATAGCTGCCTGACTTTGACAACCAGGTAGTGATCTCTCCTTAGCACCCACCTGTTGTGGTTGAAGTAGGTGCTCATCATCCAGAGAGTCTGCATTATCTGTGTCTTTAGTTATTTAGGCTCTGGGGATGGTCTATTTTCTGGAGCTTTAGGTTCTTCCTTGTCTCACTCCTCTGCATCAAATTCCTCAGACTCTACTGGCTGAAGTATCACAGAATGCCATTTGATGACAGAAATGCAGGTTATAAATTTAATAAACAAAGAGATGATGATATCTTACTTCTGAGAAACAGGGTGAATAAGTAATCCTATGGCAAGGTTTCCTGCAACAAAGTCATGTATGAAATATAGCCTCCTTCTGTGTTGTTTCTAAAACATGCATACCACCCATGTAGCAAAGATGCATAGATTGCTATTAAATGTGATGTTGCTGTCAAAAAAAAAAAAAAAAAGAGCAAATGATACATTTTCCTGAATAATGAGGTTTCCTGCATCCTTAAAATGAATAAATAGAATCATCTGATGCCCTAGAATGGCAGCTAGATGCTCCAGAAAAAAGCAAGCAAATAATACCTGTCTGCTTTAGAGTTAATGACCATCTGGAACCAGACACCCAGCAAAGATCTAATCTGCTCACCAGTGATCCAGTTTGGCTGACAAGTAGCATGATAGACCTTCCCATCGTTACCAAAGTAATGCTGTGGAAAGCAAAGGCCAGAACAGCTATTTCCTTTACTGGCAATCTGGTCTGCTAGCATGAAGAATAAGTCATTTAGATCCTTCCATCAGATTCCTTGATTTCAGATTCCTTGGCCAATTTATAATAAAGAGACTGAAGAGAAAATATCTTATGTGTATACCTAGAACATATAGTGTATGTATGGGAATGGGTGATAGATGTCTGTGAAAGCCTATGAAGGTGTGAAATGGATCATGTGCTCCTTTATTTATTTATTTATTTATTTATTAAAAAACAGGGATGTCTATGTCCAGTCATTATTAAAGGAAGGGAGTTACATTAGCACTACCCCTATACCTCAAATTATATTGCCATCCTACAAATGGAAGAGGACAGTAAGAAATGGAGAGCCTCTGTTGTCTGTGGAAGATCTCCATATTGGTTAAAACAATAACATTCCAATGATCTAGCTCACATGAAGTGACTCTATGAACAGCAGACACTTGCCATTTCCAACCCATTGCTCTCCATATGTAGAGATTGTGGATCTAATATACTAACTTATTACTACAACATCCTTCACATATTGCTACAACATCCTTACCACATGCCTAATACATTCTTGACATCCACAAAAATAATGACTGCTGATTTTCTTTTCTTTTCTTTTCTTTTTTTTTTGAGATATCAGGTAAACTACTAGAGCTGATTGAACTCAAAATATAATTCTAAACAGATGATGAAATTACCTCTTCATTGGGCATCTGTTAAGGCCTTCCCTAAAGTCTTTGAGGTAGAGTATACCGTCTGCCCTCCTTGTCCACAGTTTTTTATCCACATATTCAAGCATCCACAGCATTAAAAATTATAAAATTCTCATAGGCAACCTTTTTATATAAGGTGCACCATTTTGCTATACCATTATATTTAATGGGACTTGAGCATTGACAGATTTTGGTATCTGTGGGGGGTCCTGGAACCAAACCCCAGCAGATACCAAGAGTCCAATGTATAATTGGAGATAGGATTAAGTGGAAGTTCACCATACAGTGGTTATCAAATAAGAGAGAGAAAATGAAGGATGATAAAGGCAGGGGTACATAATTTGCAGACCTGGATTAATATGTGGCCCTTGGTCTCGTTTTGTAAATCATCTGAATCTAGATGGTCTCCACACACTCTGCTTTTAAGTCCCTACAGTGGACTTATTGCACAGTGGTTTGAGTGTTGGACTAAAGATCTGGAAGTCCAGGGTTCAAATCTCCTTTTGGTCATAGAAACCCATTGGGTATCATTGGGCAAGTCAGAGTCTCTCAGATTCAGAGGATGACAATGACAAATCTTCCCAGAAAACCCCATGATAGGTCTTCTTTGAGCATGCCATAAGTCAGAAATGACATGAAAGCACACAATAACAAACAACAACAACAATCAGCTAATTGGATGAGCTCTGATAGACTGGAAAGTGCTAGTCCCTGGTTTTCAAAGCATTAAAAGTTACTTTTAAAAAGAATGAACATAACCATCCATAGCTGAGCAGTGGTAGGCTGAAGCTATTGGAATCAAGGAATCATCTGACTGTTGTTTAATTATGCAGAATGTCAGCATGCCATAATATTTATTCGTAGAAGGACTGTTCCATGCTTTGCTGGTTTTCAGCTGATAGAAGCAGTAAGAAAATAATTGTCCCAGTGGAGATCACTGGGACACTAGTCACCTCACCCCCAGCAATCCCTAGATCTCAGTGGGAATAGAAGGCACGTTTCCTTCCCTATCCCTTGGGCCCTTAGGCAGGTGTAAGTTTGAATCTGTATTACTGCTGCAATACTGCAGCACTACTACTATGTCAAGACTGGAGGCAGAATCAGAGTGAGGCAAATGCTTTAGGCAGCTGATCCTGAAGGTCAACAGTAGGACCCTCAGTCTGCCTGATCATTACCGTATTTTTCGCCATATAAGA